TTAAATTATAATTTGCAGTATTACAGGCTGTCTCTTATACACATCTAGATGTGTATAAGAGACAGCAATTATCTTGTATATTAGTTTTATTTACTTAAGCTAAATAAAATGAAATGGATCACACCTGATATCGTTAGATTATGTATAACTGTAAAACACTTATCCGAGACAAACACCTTTTAATAATCGTTCACTTACAAACAACTACACGAGTAAAAATTGAAAATGCAAATCAGAATATTATTTTATTATCAGATTATTTTTTACCAGTTGAAAACAGATATAAACACGATCCCAAACGTTCAAACAATATTCATCCAAGTCGTAATTTTGAAAATTTTAGCGATTATTTTAGTAATATAGGAAAAGAAATTTAAAACTCAATTAAAGAAGACAAAACAGAATGGAAAAACTCAAATTGTATTCACACACACTAAATTTTACGATATTTGTATCTGGCGATACTGCAGAAAATCTGGTATATTTATCTGAAAAAAGTTCATAATTTCGATACTATGCTATAATAGACTAAGACTTGCATTACGCTATATCGCGAAAGCTCTGTGTTCCATTAAAAATAAGCCCTAACAACTATAGTCCAATCTCAGTGGTATGCTACATAGCCAAAATTGTTGAAAAGCAAGTCCAAGATCAAATTAATACATATCTCAATGAAAATGACCTTATAAATGTACCAATATGCTTTTAGGAAGTACCACTCATCTGTTACATGCCTTCACTGTTTAATAGATCTTCTTATGGATTCTGGGGCGGATGCAGGATTTGACGGTAGGGTTGGGGCTGAGGTGAGAACATTTTGAGAATGGAACTCAGGTGCCCAGAATTGCACTCATACCTTGAAAATCTTACCTGTAATTCATATCATCAATACAATACAACAATTATTTTCCTTAATACAAATAAATTAAATATTGGTTTATTATTCAACGATACGAAGGCTGCAACGTGAACACTCCCTTCTTGGCCCCTTGGCTTTAACGAAATAAATATTGAAATGTTGCCCCCTAATCAATCGGAATTGGCACACTACAGGTAGTGTCTTGGGTCCAATTATATTTTTTTATACGTATCAAACAAGTAAAATATATAAGATATTTGGGCTTAAGTACGAAAACTTAACATGGGATTATCATATACGACACATACGTCTGTAAGTTCCAAGATTCATAATCTAGGAAAATTGGCAAAAACATTGTACCAATCTCTCCTTAATACATAAGCACAATCGAACCATGTTTAGATTATGCAATTTCGGTTTTGGGAAACACATCTACTGCAACAAGAATAATATAACCAAAGTTTTGATTACAGAAAACTATCGTGGCGAAAACATAATTCAACAACTAATTTCATGTTTAATGAACAAATACTATATGACACCAAACCGCCCCCACCCCTTACTCGTTCATATAATGAAATTGAAATGATTTTCTATAGACATGGATATTACAAGCTCAAACACTTTGAGTGTTGTTGCACTGATTGCAGTGCCATCTTTTTTAACTGTAGGTTTTTACAACAGGCATAGGGGCCTATGCATGTACAGTATAAATGATTATTTTTAACAATTTTAAATTATAATTTGCAGTATTACAGGTTTTTAATTTGTGCATTGCTTTATTAGATTTTTTAATAAGGGGGCGGGAATCAGGGCCCCTGGAGGTTGGGGGCCAGGTTCGATGAACCTGCTGAACATGCAGTAGCTACACCACTGGATGACCTGTGCTACTTTAGGAAACAAATTATGTACATATCTGCCATTTCTACATTTTTTGTGTGGCTGCGACACCATATCTCATTTTTATGGGATAAGGAAAGGTTGTGTAGTAGGATCTAAGAAATCTGACGAACTTATACAAATAGGTGAATGTTTTAAGTCAAGTTCAGCTAGTCATGATGACATCAGACGGGCTGGGCAAAAGCTTCGTTATGTCTGTATGGCGGACGCAATGTACCTTTGAATGTTCTCCCCAGCGAAAGGTTTGGCGACAAGGTAGTAAAAATCCTTAAATGTGTCTGTCAAGCAGCTAGGGAAACGCGAATGAACCGAAACTGAGAGAGGACGCAGCATAATTAATTATTATGCAAAGTATACTTAGGCCTACCTGCGAGGCACTCATCTGATCTTTAGATGGTTGTTCCCAGTTCCCATCTCCCCAGGTTTTTTGGGGTCTATTGGTGTTTCGATTTGGTCTTATAATGATCGAAGTTGTATGTTTGTTTTTGGTAGCCAAGTTACGTTTGATGTTTTGGTTCTCTTTTAACTACAGTTTTTTTTATATAAAATCAATAAATAATTAATAAATGTATTGAGTTGTGACAGTTTGGATTTTTAGTGATATTTTCTGAGTGTTATTTTACATTCGCATATGGTATATTACAGCTGTTTTTTGTAGCTTGAATTCATATTAAAAAACATGCCCCACCCTGAAATGTATCATACGGGTGGATCCGATGATTTAGCCCAACCCAGTTATATAGTACTTTGAAAGGAGGTCGAAGGTCACAGAAAGCAGGAGTTGGGTATTTTTAGTTTTGAAAACTGGTGAGCCGCCAAGCAGCTGGGGAAACGCGAATTGATTCTCACCTCAAGAGGACTTGTATAATCACGATTATACTGCAGGTAAGTGTACATTTGCATAATCATCTTCATGCTTACCGATGTTTTGTGCCTAGGATAGACCTAATAAATTTACTGACAACTTTTAAGAATTGAAATATTTGTATTTGGTGTTGTGGTGGGCTCATCTTCCCACGGAGTTAATTAGCTCCGGGACTATAGTTGTCAGGAAGCCTATACCTACCGTACTCGCGCGAATAAGCGCCCAAGCGCTTAAAATATTTTTTTGCACTTTTTGAGGGGCGCTTATTCAAACGGGGCGCTTATCAAAACAGAGTGGAAATTATGCTTATGGAAATATAAGAAAATCGAAGGGTTCTTATATGAGAACTTATTAAATTCAAGAGGCACAGTTTGAATGAAAAACGATTATATAAGGACATCACAAATTACGAATGGTGGTGCGGCGGAAAAGATAATGGTCCAGAGAGCATGGCTTGCCATGACAAGAATTTTGTGAGTACAGTATTACACAGTAGAATGGCAGATGAAATTAGAGGTGGTGGTTAGCTTGTTGGCCAAACGGCCGATTGAGATTAGCAGGATGGCATGATCATTGCAGGTTTTCTTGAAACCTCAGATGAGAATGTGTGAGGTGCAAATTATCGAAAAAGCAGTAGGACTTAGCTATAGAAAAATGTAAGATGAAAGTTGGAAGTATACTGTATGTCCAGGGAGCAGCTCTCATATTCTGTCCAAGATAAGAGCTGCTCATTAATGCAACAGATCTTTGTCAGGCCCGTATTTAGGAATTTCAATGGGGGGTTCGGCTTGTGACTATGCGGAACTCCTTATCAAAACCACATACTTTTTCTTCTCTCCCCTAAATGGGGACTTTGTTTGATAGGTCTCAGGCCCTTTACAGTATAAATAAATATACATTTTTAGTGCTTTAAATAAGGCGAAACTTCTTTATACCTTGTTTAGCGAACCCTCCAATTCCGAAATTGTGGATTTCAAAATAAAAATAACATTTTATTATAAGTGTGTTAGCGTACGAGCCGCCATGAAAAATTGAAAAAAAAGAAATAAAAATTTATATTTATTTTTATTCTGTCCTCCGCTACATGGAATCCCTTTTTCCGAAAATTTAAAGTTGCATACTTTTTAATATAGTAAAAAGATGTACTATGTGATGTAATCACGAAGTATATATTCCTCAAATAAATATAAATATTATTATATTATTTCTTTTCCACCCTCCTCTTGAAAGATTTTCCAAAAAAAGTTCGCGAAACAAGGTATAAAAAAAGTCTCGCCCAAAGTGTTCGTTTCTTAAAAGCAAGATGAGTATATTGTGCCAGTTGAATAATTGTTAACTTAATATTAGACATTAAAAAAGACTTTTTGATTGATGGATAATTGAAATAATATTGCGGAATAAACTTCTTTCTAATGTTGAAATGGAACCCGTCTTCCACTAAATCATTGTTGCACATTTTACAAATACAGTTTTGTTGTGGAGTATTGCTCCAATGACAAGTTTTAATTTCAAGTTCTAGAATGCCCAGCCTTAGCTTAGTTAACATTAATATTATATATTAAATTGGGGATATTTAAAAGATGATTATCTGTTGTAATACTCTGTTTAAATAAACAATAATACTTTTGATTGTGATCTCATTATTTCATAACATTTTTGTGTTTCTATATCAGTTACTCTTAATTGAATTCGTGAATAAAAGTATATTTATCATGAATATTTCGATTATTCCAAACATAACTAAACCATATGAACAGTAAATTTTGAACTTTCATTGTCCACCACTCCTAATTTCTTTTAACTTTTCTTAATTGAAATTCATAACACTAGTATATAAATATCTATTTGATTAATTAAAATAATGTGCATCCAAAAGCGAATAACGTTAACTATACATTTACAAAAGCGAACAACGTTAACTATACATTTACATCCAAACCTCGTTATAATAATAGGTCCATACCTTTCCAGTGTAAAACAGTGATATAAACTAAGTACTGTACTTTAAGTTCCAATGATTACAATCAATGGCTTTTTACCCTGGTTATGATATACATGTGCTATATGGATATATAGTGAATGAATTTCTATGGTCCCGAGGGGTATGTTGTTACGAGGTTCAACTGTAAGTACATTCATTAGCAGATTAAAAATAAGAAAAAACAACATGTATTAAAGCATACATTAGCTTTAATGAGCAAGTAGGTACCTACTGTTTGGTTGTTAACATAAAATAATACATTAGGTCTATGTTCTACATTCAACCAGACAATACAGTTGGTAAACCAGTTAGTAGATGTATAATAGAGTCAATCATCTAGCAGGCTCCTCAGAGTCATTCTACGGGGATGCATTGATGCAAACCTATCCACTATGTTTATCATAATTTTTTCGATTTTATCATAATAGTAACTTTTATTAGTAAACTCAATCAAATTCTCCAAGATTCATTTTAAATAGTTGACCTGGGATCCCTAACTACATGTATGTACTATTTTTGTTTTAGCCCGCTTTTTGAGGGGGGGGGGGGTGCCTGTTTGTAAAGGATTCATTCTTGCGACATCTGTGATCTGTTTTTTTGACAATCTGTTTTTTTGACTCATAAAAGGAAATTTTGTCAGCATTGGCCTAGAGCTTTTGTATATCTGCACCAGTCAATTGTGTGTAACCTTCCAGACCTAGTCTGTAATTGAAATTGTTGCTATTGATGCAGATACAGTAGGCCTGCAAAATTGATTTCAAGAACATTTTCTTGTTAAATACAGTACAGTGTTTTTGTATCTTCCCCACTCTCGCCTCATATTTTAAAATTTGAAGCTAATACAGTATGAATTAGAATTTTGTGTACAGTAAATAAATGTAAATTGTTCTTCCCTATTTTTTACATTGGTATAAACTAACTATAAATCCATATATTTAATGGTTTGATAATAGTGTGTTAATTGCATTGATATATATTGTAATACCTGACTGCTTCAATGCTTTATTCTGTGTACAGTAAAACAATTTTATGTTAACTGTGAGAAAATACACTTGTAATAAATTATTTGCCATGCACAAGGATGATAAATTGTGTTTCAAAATATTTATTTAGTAACACAAGTAGTCTTGAATCAATAATCAATAACCAAGTGAAGCACCAAAAATATGGATGTTGAATATCATCATGAAAGAAGAAATCTTGGCTATGGTAAATAATACAAGACAATCAGACATGATAAATAAAGCAGTGCAGACTAGTTAAAATTGCCTAAGACGACTAATAATATACTCTAAAAATTTCTAAGTCGATCTAATTTTACATGCTGAATTGTTGAATTTTCCATTACCGTAAGTGCAAGTCAAATTTTGTTAAGATCAAACAATTTCTCAATGGCATTTTCGATACGACATAGGCAAGTTCATTTCAGTATATCTTCAGAAAAAAAATCATTAGATAAATCATTTTAATTCAATTATTTTGAAATATTTTGGCCTCAATCACTTGCTGCAGAGCTCTGAGCATCGCCACCTTCTGCTAACCATGGCTTGGACATGTCCATTTCATCATATCATGTCCACAGAGATGGAACTGTTTGCATCAAATCCATTCGAGCCTGTCATTTGCTCCTATTGAGGAATAAATATACAGTAGTTACAATAATGAAAAACCAGGTTTGTTAAAAATCAAAA